AGCAGTTTTAAAGTCCATCTCCATGAATTAGCTAATTCAAGGTATGCATTCACTGCAAGCGTGGTATTTCACTACTACCTGTAAAACAGCCTTGAAGCTCCCATCAGCTGTATAGCATTAACAGAGGCAAACACAAGGTATGCAGAGCTTCCAAGAAGAAAAGCTGAGAAAGTTACAGGTAGCTGGCCACAGGTACAATAACAGCAGTCAGAAATGTCAGAAAAAGGACAAGGAGTCTGAGTTCTTGGACAGGTGGGATATGAAAGCTTTTGGAGTCCTCAGCAAGAAACCAGCGATGTGAATCAGGTCCCTCATCAGATAGCTGCCAGTCTCAAGGCAGGTCACAGCAAGAATAGCCAACACCACCATGCTAGAAAGATAGTCTTAGATGATACAAGACTAGAGGGACCACAGCTAGACTACAGTGGGGCGGAACTAAGTATACAGAACACTTCCTTTCTAACTGCACAGCCTGGCACTTCCAAAACTTAGCAGCAGCCTACTAAATCTCCAAAGCCTCAGGGGGCTGAACCCAAGTCTTCCCACAGTAAAATATCATCTACTTCTCATCTCTGCTATAAACTCAGTAACCTATTAATACTGCCTTTTCTTCTCTCTGTCAATGCGTTTGTCTTTGGCGCACAGAGCAGATTTGCTATCAAACTTGTGCACTGGAGTTAAGTAGTCATACGCAAGCAGAACTTCCTTATTTTTTAAAAAGGAAAAGGCAGAGAGAAATCCAGACATTTCCCCATTTGTCTTGCCCTGCTCAGCAGTGGATCTGCTCTGAAAATGAGATGTCAATTAACCTGTACGCGTTGCAAAAGCTAAACTAGAAAGGTTTCAGTCTTACAACTAACTTTACAACTAACCCTGCCAAGCAACCTGAAGAATTGTTTTCTTCTACATGTTTCTCATCTCACCCAATGGTAAAAAAAAACCAAACAAATAAAAGAAAAAAAACAAAACCAACAAACATGGTAGCACTCAGGTTCAGCTTTAGCTGTCTCCTTTTCTGAATGCTATCAAGGGTGAAGGGAGAATAAAGTGAAAGACAGTCATGGTGATCAGGTGTCAAGAAATGTTTTATGCAATTAGGCTTCAGGGGAACAAAAAGATAGAAACACACAGACAATATATAAATGCTTTAGAAACAGGAATCTACAACTCAAGTGTCTCATGCTTCCCACAGCATTCACCTGACTGTGAAAGTCAAGTACCTAGCCAAAATGTCTTTTTCATTTAAGAGGTAAGATGCTGTCAAAAGTCAAGGTGTCCTGATTCCTAAGACTACTGTCCACTACAAGTCAGGATGAAGACACTACTTCAGAAGACAAAAGTTCTGCAGCCCTCTTCCTAAGATTCAGAAAACTCAAGACTCATCCACTTAGATGGCCTCAGGAAACAGGACAAAAAGATTCTCCTTTCCTACTGCTCTAGTAGCATTTGCCACTGTTGTGGAAGAGCAAACTAAGGTTTTACGAGACTTTCTAGTTACACAGGATCTGAAGTACTACATTATTCCCATATTTGAATCAAAAGCCAAAAGGAGACACATAGGCAAGTATTCCTGTCCCCTGGGTTTCTCTAACTCAGGACAAAATGGAGTTCTTACTCAGTGAATCTAAACAAAAAAGTAAAAAAAAAAAAAAAACATGCTTTAAAGAATACAAAGCAGTGATGGCAGAGGTTTAGCCACTTCCATGCTATACATCAGTGGTAATAAAAATTGAGGCACTTTATGGGCAGAAAACCTCCCTTTGCTTCTGAACTTTCTCCACTCAGAGGATTTCGGCCTTAGGTACTTGTAGCTTGCAGCAGATTTTAGGAAGTATTTGCTCAGAGAAAACATGAGGAACCCAGAAAAAGCAAATTATCCACTTCATGGTGACAGGCCAGCTATTGTCACTAGCCCTCTTCCCAAAGGGATACAGTAGTAGGTCTGGATATAGGTGGCTGTCCTTAAAGAAACTGACTCAAAGACACTTTGGTACTGCAGAAATTTTGGTCCAGGTCTCCTGCTTCAACTTCCATCAGACTCTCCGAAAAGGCCAGAGAGAAGATTAGAAGAGCTCCTACTCAAGAATCAATAAATAACAAATGCAGAGCTTTAAGCTTAAATCAGACTTGAATACTGACTTCCCTTTGTTACTCAGCTATTGAAGTTCCTCAGTACTATTAGTTGATTAGTGAGCCAGTCTCTCAAAAGATCAATAATCCACCATCACAGACTAAGATTTTTAAGATTAACACTGGCAGTGTTCAAGGCCAGGCTGGATGGAGCTCTGAGCAACCTGGTCTATTAAGAGGTGTCCCGGCCTAGATCATGTCTGAGCTCCCTTCCAGCCCAAACCATTCAGTCATTCTGAGATTGAGACATACAAACCACCCAAAAAGTGGTTTTACCTGCTTACCTCCACTTACCATACTCCCTCTGTAGACTACCCAATACAGAGTGCAAGTATTGCATTCAAGCTAGGAACACCTGTTCATTGAATTTTTTTTCTGATGAGGGAAAGAAGTTACCACATTGTTTTTCTTGTCAGTGTGTAAAATATTAAGCTGAAGAAGGGATATCCCATATACACCAGAGCTCTTGATCTCCTTCCATTAAAAGGATAAGACATACAGCTTTTTCTGCTAATTCAGCCAGAAGGAAAAGAATATTATATTCTCTTCCTACTGGATATCCTTTTATTCACATGGATCATAGCCTAGTGCCATTTCCAGGTCAAGCACAAAACTGCTCTCAAGTCTAAACATCACTTACCGCAGCCACTTTTGCACTGTCTTTTAGAGTACTTCTATGCTCCCAAGTGCCTAGAACAGAATGGTACTACATACAGGGTACAGAAAGTTAGATTTAATTTCTACTGCTGATGGAAAAACTGGGCAAGAACTTTCCTACTTATGAGAAGTTAGCTGACCACAGCCTGAAGCTAGAGTTATTTCTGCTCCCAGGTTGTCAGGAATACTGATACACTTCTCAAAACCTCAAAGCAGTAAAGCAGAGGGCAGCTTGCTTCCATTTCAAAAGCAAAGAAGTTCTTTAATACAACTGAGGAAAGATATTATAGTGTGTGAGATACTCCTCAGAACACTGCTTCTCACCAGCTATACAGCAGTGTGGAAGGACCATGCTAACAGCTGCAGCTCCTCAGCTGCAAGATTTGTGGGAGCAGCTGCCAATTTCCATTGCTATTACATGATCAAACCATCTATCACAGACAAAAACCTCCACAACTTCTATCCCTGCCTTACCCTTTTCTCAGCAGATCATCAGCTGACTAATTTGTTAGATGAAGGCCTAAGTTCCTGAAGAGAAGGTAAGCCTTGCTTCTCACCAGAGCAACACTGAGCAAATGTTCAAGAAGAGGACTCCTTACATGGGCAGGAAGAAATGCTGAATCCCTACATCACAGCTGCACACAGCAGATGGTGAAATATGGAAAAGGCCAGGCTACCTTGACTCACTCTCCTGTAGCATGGCAGTATATTGGACCAGATACTGCTGACAGCCTCCAGGCTTTTGGAGCCTAGGCGATCCATCCTACCCAGAAGCAGCTCCATATTCCTCAGGACAACAGCCACAGAAGAAGCAATTCTTGCCACCAGCAACTCAGTAACACCTTGAATGCACGAACCAGCTGTGATAGAACTGCTTTTAAACCCACATCGCCCCTTGAAGTTCTTGCTACCAGGAAATCCTAGCTTAAAAATTTCGGGAAGACTTTGTAGTCTACAGAGATATCACGTCCTTGCAAGCGTAGCTAATGTATCAGCCGTGCTGTACTGCCACTACGGAATTATCACCACAGGGAAAGCACTTTACTGAGTTCGCTAGTGTCCTGTGAACATATGCCAGAGCTAGGGATGGGAAAACAGACACTGATACTGCTGCAGAGCACCCTGTCTCTATTAGTGCTGGGAAGAAGTGAGTAGGAGTTCAGCCTGGAAAGGACAATCACAAATAAGCTGATGATAACGAAAAAATGCCAGCTCCAAGCCTTCCCCGTGAGGGGTACAGGAAGGAGACAGCAAAGGAGCTGCAGCAATGCCTGAAAAATTTACACTTATCTGTAGACGGTACGAGCCACAGGAGACACAGTAAATAAAATACTGCCTCTCGCAACACTCCTGTGACAGCGCGACCACCAGCGTCTCAGCCGGTCCCTCGCAGTAAGGGACACGATGCCTTCTACCCCCGGAGCCGCTCTGGGCTCTTGCAATAGATGTCAGCAGCGCCCAGGGCTTCACCTCCCCACGGGGAGACGAAGCCGGGAAAAGGGATGTGTCAAGGAAATACACACACTGTCCTTCTCTCCGCTCTCCTTCAACACCAGAGGCCCTCTTAAATGCCGCGCCCCCTTCCCCGGGTCATACCTTGTCGGCGATGCTGCGGGGCAGGAGCAGGTCGGGGCTGGGGGTGAGCGCCGGCCCCATCTCCTCGCTGCTGGACGTGGCCAGGGGATGCGGCATCTCCCGCAGCGACTTGGGCCCGGAGGACGGGAGGGGCTTAGGGGCGCTCGCCGCGCCGCCCGACATCGCGCCGGGGCCGGGCAGCGACCGAGGTAAGGAGGGAGGGAGCGGAGGCCGCGCCGCCTCGGCGAGAAGCTGCGGGGCCGCGGCCGGAGCCTGCCCGCCACCGCCGCGATACGAGGAGGCGCAGGAGGCGGCGGCTGCGGCGACGACGGAGGAGGAGGAGCGAGCGCAGCATCCGCCTGCGCCACCGCCCGCCCCTTTCCAAAGCGACATCCGTGCCACCTGCCGCCCCGCCCCGCCCGGCCCGGCCCGGCCCAGCCCGGCCCGACGGCCGGGGCACAGGCACCGCCCCCGGCAGGCACCCGGCGGAGCGGGGCGGGCCGAGCCGAGCCGGAGCGGCGGCCGGGGGAGGGCATCAGGACTGGCGGAGCCGGGGGAGGCAGCGGGTCTGGCGGAGCCCCAGGTGGGCCGGGCCGAGCCGGGGGAGGCACCGAGCCAGCGAGCGGCCCCGACGGTGAGCCCGGACTGCGGCGGTGTCCCCGCAGGCTGTGGCACGGCGGGTTAAGTGCCCGAAAAGCAGTCGAGCTTCTCGACTTTTCCAGGCTCGGCGACCTCAAACTGCGCTCATGTTGGAAGGGAAATTTGTAAACGGGCGGGTTGCAGTGCAGGACCGACCGCAGCCGGGCTCAGGAGGGACAAGGCCCGGTCTCCGGACTCCCTCATGGTGGGACTGCATGGCAGGCGGATACACTGAGAGATGTCTTGCACGCAAGGCCTGCATAAAAGCATCCTTTCACCGATGCCGTATATTTACTTCTGCGGCAGAGATGTCACGTTGAGAGATCTCGCATTGCTGTAGAATGTTTCATCGTGCTGAAATGAGCTGAGAGATAGATCAAGATCTCTAGAAGCAATACATGCAAATCTGTCTAACAGCATGTGTCCATTACAAAAATTCAAATCTATCCACATGTAACAGCATGGAAAATGTGTTCATGAAGGCAGAACAATCAATACATAGGAGAAAAGTCATAGTCTGGTCTAAGATGATTCATGACTAGGTAAAGCAGCTAAATCTGGCAAACAAATTACTTTTTCCCAAATAATTTGCTCAGCACTAATTAGACATGATAGAGTAATATGCTACTGGGGAAAGTGATGTATAAGACTGTCACAATCCCTTCCAGCTACAGATAGATAATAGGAAGAGAAACATACAGGTATGTGACCAGATAAGACTTGGATGCTGTAAACATTTGACTTCTGTTTAACTTTTCCCTCGGAGTACAGACCATTGAAATCAAAAGGGCAGAATTAATACCTAAAGCTAAGCTACCAAGTTTTACAGGTGTCACGTAGCAGAACAAGCATGAGAGCACAACACTGTGAACTGTCATTCCAAAAAGAAATGCTGTGTAACACGGAGAAAAATATGGGAAGAAAAATCAATCCTTAATATAAATAACTACTTAATATTACATCATGCTTGAACTCCAGCAGAGCTCAAGAGTCCAAACCGAGTGCCAGTCTCCAGTGAGAAAGTGGCTGTGAAATATTCCTTGTTCATTACACTTCAAAAGAAACAACCTATTTATCTATCAGGAAAAGGAAGCAATACACATTAGCCACCTTAAATACATGCATCCCAACTTTCTTTTAGACTACCCAAATCTTAAGTGGAAACTATTGTGATAAAGCAGCAGGCAAGTTCATGTATCTGCCGCACTGCTCAGTTTTGTGACAGTATGTATCTCAAAGGTTTATGACTTACTGAGACCTCTTCCTCTCTTTTCCCTTAAGCATCCTCACCTAGCCGTGTTTCCAACTCAGTCCTTTCCCAAAGGAAGCCTGTCAGGGATACCAGCACCTTCTACCACTTGGAAACCTGGGGCCATCCTAGCTCTGTGCATGTAAAAATGACCTTATACTCATTAAACCTTGGCTTAGTGGGCAGTGAGCTGAGCATAAGGCAGCTGCATCCTTGCAGCAAGGAAGGCTGGTTGTATCCAAGCTGCCTAAACAGCAGGCAGCACAAGCAGCAGATTGAGGGCGGGATTTATCACACACTGCTTGGCACTCCTTAGACCTTATCAGAAATCCTGTGTTCGATAATGGGACCTTTATACAAGATGCTGACAAACTGGACAAAGTTCAGAGGGAGGGCACTGAGATGGTTGGTGACCATCTTCAAGCAGCAGCTGCAGGGCTGAGGCTTTTTGAGCCTGGAGCAGATAGCTTCAAGGGCAGTTAATTGCTTCCTCCAGTATCCAGGAAAGGGGTGGAAAAGATGGAAAGGGGCTTACCAGAGCAGACCTGAACAGAGCAGGAGGGCAAGAGACAAAAGACAGACCTCAACCGAAACAGGAAATTCCTGATGAATGTAAGGACAACTTTTCTCCCCTTGAAGATAAGTCAAGAGGCAGAGCAAGCTGCAGAGGGAGGTTGTGCAGTCCACCCTTGGAGATTCTCAGGACGATCTCATGTCTGACCCTCCCTTAAGCAAGAGATTGGACTAGAGACCTCCCTATACCCTTCCAGCCTGAATGATTCAGTGCTGCTACAGAAGTCATTATGTCCAGTTTCTGAGGTTATGTAAGGTGACCTTTCAATTATCCAGTATACAAGGATGAAGTTCCAAGCTCCAGATATAGACTTACTGGTCTAGTTTCCTATGATAGGGCAATATGTGCCTCTTCTTTTTTAATTACAATTATCTGTGTTACCTTTCTACTATATCATCCTTAGTTATTTTGTAATTATATTATTCACATTACTTATTCTACTTATTGATGTAGAATGCTTAGAAACATTTTCAAATAACTCACTGCATCAGTATATGCAAAATGCAGGAATATTTGTGCACTTGTGAATACAAGTAAGCTGAAATCTGGTTAGAAAAAGTTCAGAAGACATTAGTGGACATTACACAGGAAAATTACAAACTTGCTGATTATTATGGTGATATTCCTAAATTCTGGCTATGAAAGTTATGTAGAATTTCAGAATTCCAACACCATAGCATGCTGTAAAGTCAAGCTGGCTAACTGTTGGCACAAAGCCAGCACTTAAATATAATATATGATAATAACATGTTTAAAAAAAAACCCAACAGAAAATGGACGAGGTAAGCAACCTAATGCTAACTGTCTTAATGACTAATGACAAATGTCTCTCGTCCTCTTATTTTGGCAAGTACTAAATCTGTAAAGATTTATAGAGACAGCAATCTAGGTTTAACAGTGGTACCATAGGTAGCAAATGCAAATTATGATACTGAAACAAGAAGACCAAGTTGGATGGAGCTCTGAGTGACATGGTCTAGTGGAAAGTTCCCTGCCTATGACAGGGTGGTTGGAACTGGATGAGTTTTAAGGTCCCTTCCAACCCAAACCAATCTATATTCTATTAGAAGAGTTCAATAATCATAAATCATACCTTAAAAAAGATTAAACTTTTTTAAAATATGTAATCTTAAAAATCTGTACAATTGTCTGGCCTTTGCTGTATTCTCTGCAAGTTCATATCACAGACTATGGTGAACTTTTAGCTGCTTCTTCTTCACTTATAAGGGAAACCCATTTCTATATTTTTAACAGGGAAGATGACTATATTATGTAGTTGATTGCAAGAAATGGAACTTCAAAAAGAAGACAGAACATTGAATCTGAAATTAGTTAGGAGTGAATTCTTGTACCTTGATTCGAACTAGTCACACAATATGAACAGGGATCATAAAGAACTTCAAATCTATTGTGCATGAAATGAAACAGAAAAAAAAATGCTATGTAGCTGACTTCTTGTAGGAATTGTTTTCTACACACAAATAGGAACCTCTAAATGTGCCAGCATGTGGTCATCTGGCTCCAACAACAGCAGGCACAAGAGATACTGCCAAATACTGAGGAAGGAAAGCATCTATTTTTCTAATACTAGCAGTGAAATAAATAAATGTCTTAATTCTGCTAGGAAATTATGAGTGATTAAAAACATGGTTCTGTATCCTTCTCCACTTCGTTGGTTTAATTTTTTGACCATAATATTTTCCTTGATGTTTATATTGGTAATTTTCTTTTTGTTAAACATCAACCAAGCCAAAACCATTCAGCACATGAAACATGCAACCAGAACAAAATATACAGTGAAAACCAAAATCAGTGTCAGGCTAGAAAGAGACTGCTATTCAATGGCCACATCTTAGTATAAGTTAACTTGAAAAAACTGGCATGCACTCCTAGCAAAATCATAACTATTTATTATGTTTACATCATTTCAACTCAGAAGCAGGACAAAACAGAAGTGTAATGCTAACTGGGCAAGAAGACAAATGATCAGTTTGGGGATCAAGAATCTCACCAATTCAAGAAAAATATCACCAGTTTCACATGTTTCTTCCTGAAAAATATCAGTTCTGTCTCTCTATCACTGAAATCAAAGTCATGCAGTCTACCTCTTAGAATTGTTTACTAGGATAAACAAGGAGAGCAAGGATCCACAGACGATGTGTAAGAAAACCCATTTACAGGTTTAAGGATAGCACCTATCTTGCACTGCTGTTCTGATCTGGACTTACACCAGTAATACTACACAGGATATTTTTATAATGGCAGATAGTTTTTTAAGTGCCCAGTGTGAGCCTGAGAAGGACTCTCAGTTGTCTCATCATTCTTTTTGTAATATATCTTTATATCTTTATCTTCTTGACCAGATGAGACATAAAATGGCAGCAGGGTTTACAACTACTATCAAAAGGCTAAGTTCACAATGTATTTATTTACTAGATCACCTGCTCACCTGCTTTTCATAAAGTATTCTATTTAAAGATTAAATTCTAGGATTCTCAATAGCATACTCTAGACAGTACAAACAGTAAGGTAGGCCAGTACAAAAAGTTGAGGCCACAGAGATACTGGCAGGCTTGGCTGGTTTGACAGGTCAAAGGCAATATTTTTTTTTCCCCTGCTGTCAACAGCCTCTTCTCAACTGCTTTGTCTTTCCCCCACTGTGGTCTGTCTTGGCAAGGATAACATTTGTGTCTCTCTGCACATAGGCACACACTACTATAGAACAAGACCATTCTAGAAGATGTAAAAACCCAAAAATCCAGCTATCTTTTCAAAAAGGATCCTTCCTTCCATAAGTACTAGACCTCATGTCTTGTATTGCAGAGATTGGAGAGGGCAGGCTTTTGACTCCATCATATTAAATCTTATGCACGTTTGGTGACTCTCTAGAGATAGGATCAGTTTCAAGTCATGAGCACGCAACATCTGTGCATTCATGCACACATGTAAGATAATGCATAAGCTTTTGCTGCATCAAAAGCCTTCAAAGCTGTCAAGTTTTATGGGGGTGCCATAAACAGGATTGTGGGAACAAAGGACACTTGTGATACAAACCGAAAGTCTGTGCTAAATGGCTATAAAACAAAAAATCAAAAATCCAATCCAGGAGAAAGACTGTAACTATGGATACAGCATCTTTACACAATTGGATATGGAAACCCCAATCAATCTAAAATGTTTAAAGACTCTTTAAGATGCATTTTATTTGTTCAAAGGGGTTTTTAGTGACACATACAATAAATAGAGAAAGGGAGTTTAGGATGGATATGTATGAGTAGCCATAAGGAAATAAAAACAGCATTCTGGAAGATCTTGGTTCAACTCAAGGAAGCATCATGCACATACTGTTTTCACTTAGGGGGAAAAAACCCAGCATGTAAATCACTAATCTATGTCAGCCTATAGTGACTAGAACTGCTCATGGTCATTCAGAAATCATAAAATAATTAGGTTGGAAGAGACCTTCAAGATCTTTGAGTCCAACCCATTCCCTAATACTTCAACTAAACCATGGCACCTAGTGCCATATCCAGTCTTTTTTTCAACATATTCAGGGATGGTGACTCCACCACCTCCCCAGGCAGACCATTCCAGTATTTGATCACTCTTTCCCTAAAAAACGTTTTCCTAACATCCAACCTGTGTTTCCCTTGGTGCAGCTTAAGACTCTTGTTCAGTCAGTTGCTGCTG